GCAACAATGGTGATAGGGGAATTACATGGCTTTTTTATTTTTATAATTTTTAAATAAGAATAGAGGTTTTTTTTAATTAAAGAAAAAATAAAGGAATTTTTCTTTTTGTTTTTATTTATTTATTGTTATTAATGGGGGTGTTAAACAAAACTTTGACATAAAAAAATTTAAAAAACAAAATAATATAATGAGTCATGGTCCCTAAATTATTGGTGACTAGGCTTAGTCCCTAAACTTTTGCCTAGAAAATACCTAAAGTGGTGGAGGAAGGACCAAAAGTGCACAAAAAAGTTGACAGGGACTAAAAGTGCACAAATACAAAAGTTTAGGGACTGTATTTTACCTTTACTCTAGAGTTGAACAACAACAAATTTGTTGGAAAACTACAGTTTAAATTAGTAAAATAAATGCAAAATACTTGTATGTTGCAAACTATAGAATATCGTTTACCTACACGATAATATCTCATGATGTGGACAAACTAATCAAATTAACTATAATGGCATGACTAAATTTTTATAGCAAAGAGGCCATATACTCAACGTAAACTACCTCCATTGTATAAGCCGTGATTTATGATCTATCATCTATCAACTACCTTTCCTTATAAAGCAAACGACCTTTAGTAACTTGTTATCTATGGCTTTTTGAATACCAAGCTTTTGTTAATCTAATATACTTATGTAGAGGTGAGTAGGTGACATCGTGACATATGTGATTTTCTAAGTAGTTGTACATGCATGTCATAAAATTGATGAAGTCTTGGTCGTATGTATTGTCTTTATGGTTCTTTCGCATTAAACCAAAAAATTAAACATGTTATATGTGAAACTAGGATGATTAGATTGAAGGTGATAAAACTTGGAGTAATAAGATTGTGAATTAGAAGGCAACGAGATTAATTTAAGTCACAAATAATTAGTTTTGAAAATCTTAAAGGTTATAATCAACACAAAACTATTTGATTTGCATCACAAAAATTAAGTAATACACGGAGTATTATACAATGGATACAATTCATTGAGTTTATTGTTGAATGTAGGGAGTGTTTGTGTAGATGTCAATTAGATTAGTTAACTAAAGTTTAGCAATACCTAGTATTCTAGTAACACCCAAGTCATGATATTGAATCACTTTTAGACCATCTTGTTTGATTCTTCGATTTCTATGATGTACGATATCCCAGAGAAATGAAAATGAACCTACCTTATATACTTCAAAGACTCAAACATCCTAAGTAGAACAATCAAAACCTAATAAGATGTTCGTAGTACCATACCAAGGCTAACCAAATGTGGAAATAAGGTAGGAAATTATTTCATTTGTACCTTATGCAAATGGTATAACTTCTTGTACTGTATAAATAGTCCAAATTGAGGTACACATTTCAACCATTGTAAAAAAAAAGAAAAAAAAAAAACCTACTATATATATATACATATATATATATATTATTATATTGGTTGAAATGGTATTAAGTTAGGAATGCATGACTAAATCACGCGTCGTTCAGTGTAATTAATGTTAATTTTACTCTAATATTCCCACTTTTAATTCTCTTATCTAACGTCTCGGGGGCGCTCATTAGCTTTTGCCATATTATAAATATATTAGATTATATATTAATGGTATTATATATTATAAATACCATATTATAAATATATTAATGGTATTTTATTATTTTTCATTTTTCTTTTCAAAATACATATCAAAATTAATAATTTCCTTTACAATCAAAATTAATAATACCCCACCCCTGGTCAATATGTATTTTTTTTTTTTCAAAATACCTATAGTTATTTCTATTATCAGTTATTTCTATTATCACATAATAGTAAACAAGGTATTAAATGCATGATGGTGTTGATATAATTAGTTCCAATAATTATTTCAAAAATCCAAAAACTTCCACACATTCACCAACAAAATAATGTGAAGAAAATTTTGAAACTAATTATATCAAAGTAATAATAAAGAATTTAAATACCCTATTCACTATTGTGGGGTAGTAGAAATTGCTACTGAAAAAAAATATACATATTGACAATTTTTTTTTTTTTAAAAAAAAAGAGTTAAGCACAAATTCAGGTACTCAATTCTACTTTTTTTCACCGTTTAGGTAATAAATTTTTTTTGTTTTGCTTTTGGGTACTGAGTTAAGAATTCCGGCCAAAAAAAAAAAATTCAGCCTAAGAATTCAGTACCTTGGTTAAATGAAAGTGGGCCCCACCCGATAAAAAAAATGCGCGGGTCAACCCTTTTTTTTTCCCTTTCTTATTCTTTATTCCCCCTTTTGTCCCTTAATTCTTTCCATTTCTGGAAATATTCGCTGCGCATAAGTCGAAGAACACGAGCAGCTACATTCGAATCTGGGAAAAATGACAGCGAAAGCCGCCATTTTTTTGAGGTATGCTTACTTACTCATGGTTTTTGTTGTTAATTTGATATAAATTTTGAATTTTTCGCCCAATTGATGATGGTAATTGCGACTTAGGGTATTGCGTTTTTTGGGTTTTTTTTAATCGAAATCAAAATGTCGATTTCTTGTGTTTTTTGTGTTAAATTTGTTGCTGTGTTGTTGTTTGTTGTTGTATTAAGCTTGTGTTGTTGGTGGATGTTGATTGCATGTTGATTATTTATGCTCTAAGGTTTGATTTGTTGATCTGTTTTGTGCACTAAAACAGGGGAGGTTTTGGTGAAATTGTGTATGTGTGATTGATGATGTTGTGTGTGTTTTTCTTGTGCAGCAGCAGCAGGGGAAGAACCTAGCAGCAGCAGGGGGAAGAACCTAGCAGCAACTACTGTTTTTTTTTTTTTTTTTTTTTTTTTTTTTTTTTTTTTTTTTTTTTTTTAATCTGGAAAAACCTTGTTGAAGAATTTGTGCCTAAATAGATATGGTGAATGAACCTGTTTTGATGATATTTGTTGCTGGTATACTGCTACAACTTTTGTGTTAATGTTTTTGTTTTTGTTTTTTTTTTTATTTATTGAAATTGAATCAGAATCGTTTTGGATGAATTTTGGTTAAGAAAATAAACATGGTGAATCTGCCCTACAGTGATGCTAGTGTTTTGCAGGTGTTTGCATGGCATTTTTTTGGCCAAGTTCATGCCCCTTTAAATAGAGTAATAACGGCTAGTTTCTGAGTCAAAGTTATTAATTTTTTTTTTATTTTTAAAATATTAATTTTTTAATTAGGTATTGTTAATGATGAGTTAGTGGTGAGTTAGTTCACCTGAAAATCACTTTGAGTACCCAAAAGCAAAGCAAAAAAAATTGAGTACCTAAAAGGTGAAAATTAGAAGAATTGAGTACCTAATTGTACTCTTAACTAAAAAAAAAAGTCTAACAAATGGTTAAAGACATTATTAATTTGGATTGTAATGTAAAGGAAATTGTTAACATAATATGTATTTTGAAAAGAATGATAAAATTTAATAATATATAAATATAATAATCAATATAGACGGAATATCAATCGTTATACTTTTTTATGACAGACGTACTATTTTGCACATATAGTACAAAAGGTGGTGTACCGCTAATAGCAAATAGTTGAGTTCGTATTATTTTGCACACAGTGTTGATAGTTGATAATATTTTAAGTCAATTTTCCAAAAGAATAAGATACACAAAATGGATTTATGCATAGCTAACCATTATAAAACAGTTTTGTAAGTCTCATAGGCGCAAAGTGAATTTATCAAAACTTTAAGTACATAATCTACAATCATGCCAAGATTGAATCAGAATCACCTAGGTGAAACTGCAGTTGAATCATGTATTCATGTACATGGCTAAATCTAGTTACCTAAGAGGGTTGGGATTTCCCTTTCTCAAAGTTGAACAAGCTGTGTTAATGGTTAAAGTTTAACTTGACTTAATTTTGCCCCGATCTTATTCCTCCAAGTCTGTAAAATTTTGTTATGCCTTTAATTTTCTTTAAAATAAAAAGAAGACCTATGGTACAATGTTTTTTTTAGTATCTTCAAAATGTGCAAATACATTTTTTTTAGCAATTAACTCCGTTAAAGGCATCTGGCCAACACAATGACAAATTAAAGCAAATCAAGCGCTGATTGGATAGCAAATGTTGGTCGGTTGCTATCCAACATTTAGTTAGTTAGTTATAGTATGGATATTGTTCCTTGTAATAGTTCTTTTTTATTTCCCATTCTTTCTTCTTATGCATTCGGAATTTCGAAGATATAAAGTAAATTTAATTTATTTTGATCTTTTTTATTCAAGTGAATAATATAAGACTAATGGATAAGTATTTGTAGCGTTATCATTTTTATCATGAAATTAGTGAATAAAAGCATTTTAATCGGTTTGTATAATTTTATATAGCTATAGACTCGGTTAACAAATACTAACAACTACGTGTCATGTTCAGAAGGTTTTTAGGACATCGGTTGCTGAGGCTCACTCTCTTGCTGGTGCAGCTAGGCGTAGAATTTTACTTCATTTCACTTTTTAATTTTTTTGTTAGTTCTCTTTGTCAAAAAAAAAAAAAAAAACTACTAGTCTACTAGAGTACGAAAGTAAGACCAAAAGATAAATTGTCACAATGTGGATGCACCATTGTTTTCAACAATGAACAGAAGTTGAAATCAGTCTTTAGCTTGCAAATGGGAACAAATATATCGTCTAATAAAGTCAATAACAAACATGATAATTAACACTTCCCTATTGTTTTTCTCTTTAATTTAATTAACTATTGGGATTAATGGAATCCTAATCATGTTATTAAGGGTCCTAAACCAAATGGACAAATGCAACTGGAACAATCCTGGAATTCACATGCCATACCTCACCACGTTTATCTTTTTTTAATTTTTTTCACACATGCTTGTAATTATTATTATTGATTTATTTTTATGGTAAACTATATCCTAGTTATAAAATTTTAATTTTTTGGTGTTACATAATTTTACTTTAGTATTATTATTTTTGAAATATTTTATACTAAATCAGTATTTTTTTTTGAATAGATTATACTAAATTAATATAAATATCATAAATACTCTCCAAAAATAATTTGTACCGTGAGCTGTAAGCTGTGTGATCTTCATCTTCTTCTCCTCTCAGATTTGTATCTTCGAAAACCATCCAAATTTGTTTTTGTTATCTTATAAACCCTAAAATAACCCAGACAAAAGATATAAATTTCAAATCCCCTATTTTTATCTTTTACCGAAAAGAATAAAATTTCAATCATATGATTAAATTAGACAACATCTCGTGATTGATTGGTCAATTGGAGTACAAATTTTCTCTCTCCTGGTTGTTTTTTCAAGTGGGTTCTTACTCAATTTCAACTCACATTCATTGATCCAAAATACCCACTTCGATTTTTTTTGCTAGTTTAATAAAAGATTCAGGAAATCGATTGTTTCTAAATTGGGTTGTGCCGAAATATTGAGTGAGATCTCAAATTTACATTAAAGTTTGGAACTTTGGACTAAAATTTGAGGTGGGTTTGATTGATTGTTGAATTTTGTGGGGTTTTTGGATTGATTTAAGCAAATTTGGAGGTGGGTTTTTGATTATTAGAGAGAGAAAGAGGAGAGAAATAAGGGCAATGAGAAGTTGGCCTGAATATTGGAAGAAGAAGACACAATGAGTGCAGGCTCATTGGGTCTGGGTTTGCGTTCCGCAAGTTATGGATCATTGCAACAATTGCACAATAATTTGTTACCAAATCAATCTCCTTCGCCTTCGCCGCCGCCACCTCCGTCTTTCCTGCCCCGTAAACCAGTGAAGATGATGAAGGAAAAGGAGAGGATGTTACATTGGCTTTACAAAACTGTTGGCCGGAAAAAGGTTGGCATGCTCTTTCTTTGTGTGGTTTCTGCGGCGGTTTTTGTTTGGGTTCTATATGTCGGCAAAGGTTTGATTTTTCTCACCTTGGTTTTTTGTTTTAACGTGTTTTTCTTGATCCTGCATTTTGTAGAATTGTTGGTTTTTTGCTGATTGATTAATTGATTTGAATTTGTTTGATTAAGTTTGAAGTTTGTGTGTAATTTTGTATGTGAGATTGGATTATAATTGGAAGTGGATTGACTTTGCTTAGTGAATGGTGATAATCATGCATTGATTGATCCTTTAGGTCTTGTATATCAAGTAGTTAATGATGTGTAATCGGGGTATTCAAAGGCGATTATGTTACGATCCTTGATGATTTTTGATTTTGGTGGTGATTATTGATGCTGGATCATGATGCATCAGGAACATGTGCAATTGTGCAGTGCTAGAGATAACAGCCTTATGAATCAGCTTTGTGATTCCTATCATGATCATTAGATTTTATTAAGAGTTAAATCATACATATTGTGTATGGCTGACACCATGTAAAATTGTTTTGTTCGCGTTGAAGAAACTAATGACTGTGTCCTGTGAAAAGGATCTTATAATTTCTTGATCTTATGGATGATTTGTGGCGGGAATGTAGTTCTTGGTTGGTTATCAGCCGTATTGGGATTGTAATTTCTAACTTCTTAACCTGTTTTTTGTTCCTGTTAATGGCAAGATCAAAGTAATTCTGTTGAGGCTACCATTTACTGACCTTGGAGTTTGTAAAATCAACTAATGTACTGGACATGGTGGTTTTCCAGGCGAAGATTCTAGAGGAAATGAAGGTCCTGCTAGTATAACATTTAATAACAGAACATCTGCAAATCGTGCACGACAAGCATACACTCTTCCAAGTAACAGCACACCAGCAAGTATTGAACCCTCGCTAGCTACTGCAGTGCAAGCTATGCGATATTTCACAGGATATACTCTTCCTCCTGGGAATCCTTGTGAACATTTTGCATTGCCACCTCCACCATCTGATAAGAAACGAACTGGGCCCCGGCGTAAGTTTGATTTTCTTGGGATATTTCTGTGTCATTGTCATTCCTTCCGACTATGTAGTCTTGGTATTGTTGTGGAAACCAAACTGCTAGATTTGTAAGTAGTTCTATTTTTCTATCTCAGCTTGTCCAGTTTGCTACCTTGATCAAAAGCAAGCCATAGAATTAATGCCGGATGCACCATCATTTTCCCCAGTCCACAATTTAACATATGTGTATGAAGAGAAATCATATAAAACTGAGTTTGGAGGTTCTGAGTTTGGTGGCTATCCTTCTCTGAAGCAAAGAAATGATTCTTATGATATAAGGGAATCTATGCATGTGCACTGCGGGTACATTTTCGTCTTTCCATTCTGGTTTACTTAACTGCCCAAATATTTCTGTGAGCCTCCTCGCATAGTTATAATCTACAGTTAAGTGATTCTTGTGCATCATATATCTGTAGTTTTATTAAAGGACAAAAACCAGGCCGAGGGACTGGATTTGACATTGATGATGCTGATCTTGCTGATATGGAACAGTGCAATGGGATAGTTGTCGCCTCAGCAATATTTGGTACTGCTGTGTTTTGTATGCTTTCAGTTGCCTGTTTCCTATATTAGGTCTTGCTGTTTAAGTACATCTATTTTGTCAGGGAACTATGATATACTACAGCAGCCCAAAAATACCAGTGAAGATGCCAAAAGAAATGTTTGTTTCTTCATGTTTTTGGATGAGGAAACTGAAGCAGCTATGAAGAATGCTAGTGTTCTTGATGGAAGCAAGAGGGTTGGATTATGGAGAATAGTTGTTGTTCATAATCTTCCATACACAGATCCAAGGCGTAATGGGAAGGTAATTAATCTTTAGGTTCATACTTGTTCTTTAACTAGTCGTGTGTTGCTAGGCTTCAAATGTGTATATTATTTGAATTTCCTCACCATTGATGCAGAAATTGCAAACTGGTTACGAAACTCATACTAGCTCACACTTGCTGTAACACTGTATATGACATTGACATTTGTGTAATTATTGTCATGTCTTGCAAATCGGTGGATCACCAATACAATACAATGCTTTAGAGAATTTAGGTTAACCTTAGATTTAGACTCTCTTGGTAGTATGTAGATGATTGACATTTGGTCCCATCTTATAAGCGACTAGATTTACTTAAGAGGATTCTGAATCAGATGCCAAGAAGGAATCTCTATGATTCGGAAATGAATTTCTGTACTTGGTCAACCTTTTGTTTCTGTAAGGGATTTAACTATTAAATCAAGGGCAGAGCAACAATAACAATGACAATGACAATGCAGTATTAGTGTTGCCTTAGGTGGGGGTATGCCATATGGCTTACGGGTATATCTAGCTGTTGCAAGGTTATCTCTAAAAGTTGTATATACTTGGGTTCTATCTATTTTATAGAAGTCTCAATTTCAAACTATTAATATTATAAGACGGATTGTTGTTTTTTCCCCAGTGCATAACGCTGGGCCTGTAATCCTGTATGCTGATGTTCCAGTATTCCAGCTCATCTTGAAGATTGTTTTGCTTGTTATTTTGTCTGTTATTGAGCAACTTTTTGATACTATCCTTACTTATCAGTGACAAGTGGGATTAGGTTTCTGACATCATTCTCTTTCTTGATAGATTCCAAAGCTTCTGCTGCACAGAATGTTTCCTAATGTTCGGTATTCTATATGGGTGGATGGAAAACTTGAACTTGTAGAGGATCCGTATCGAATTCTTGAAAGGTGAGTGCTATATTTTCCGATGACAGTATACAATCTATTATAACTATTCAATTTTAGATGATCTGGTTGTGTTACAGTGTTACACAAGTGAGTTATACTGATGAATTGTTTTCATCAAATTGCTTGTTTGCTGCATCGTTTGTGAACTTTAGTTTTGTTCGGTTCTTTTTAATATCTTTTTCTCACTCCCCCTCCCTACCCCAACTCCTTTTTTTTTTAATGGTTTGAATGGCAAGAACAGTTAGGATTAGTTGAAAACGCTTACTTGGTACACTTCACTGACTTCAGCATTCTTTGATATTCATTCTCCTGTGGTCAGGTTCCAGTACAGAGTATTATTATTTTTTCTAATCCAAGCTTTCATCTACACTTGTTATTCTGATCTTGTTAAGCCTCTCTTAATTTGAAACAAGGTAGTTATTTGGAGAATGATCTAATTGCTGTTTTTGTCTATTGTAATGGTTCCTGTTCTTGGTCACCTGATCCTATTGACTTCGCATGGATATATCCTTGATGGTGAAAACATATTTTGTAATACATTGTGGTTAAATACCATCTAGTGGATAATTTGACTCATTGAGTACATGTCTGTGGAAGTCTCCACAGTGCTATGGAAGATTGGTAGTGACAAGCTAAGCATGCTGTTGGTAATGAGTGAATCAATTAAAGACTTTGAAAAATAAAAAAGGAAATATATTTATGTCCAAATTAGGGGTGGGGTGTTAATGAGCTTTGTTGGCTTGCTAACTATTTGAGTTTTCCTTTTGAGGCCAAGCACAATTAAGCTTTACTGGAAAAGCTCGTTAGCAAGCTCAAAGTATTATTAACAATTGTATTTAAGATATTATAATATAAGAAGTAGGAACGTAAGTTGATAGTAATGATATGTACATTATTGTTGAAAAACTCAAAAGCATTAATAACTAAAACGTAAATACTCCCTCCATCCCTGAATAAGTAGTTCTATTTGCCTTTTTCACAAATTTTTAGGAATGTGAACAAAATAATAAGATAATGGGGTTTAATAGATTAAAGGTGTATATATTATAAGTAAAAAACTAGATAATGGGGTTCGGTTGATCAAATTTGAATTAAAAAAAAAAAGATTAAAGGTGAATGTAATTAATGTAAAAAACTAGATAATGGGGTTCAGTTGATAAAATTTTAATTTTAAAAAAAAGAAGATAAAGGGTTTGGTTTGATAATTAGATAAAAGGTTAAATGAGACATTTATTTAGGGATTAAAATTTGGTGTGAAATGAGACTATGTGAGGATGGAGGGCGTATATAAAATATAAAAGCATTACAGATTAGAACTCAAGTTGAGTTTTATGGTAAGAAAATTTTCAGGATTTGAGAATATGGAAGCTCGAAATTGGGCTTGTGTTCAAATCAAAGAGTTGCAAGCCAAGCTGGAGTCTGCTTGGCTTGTTAGCACCCCTAGTCCAAACAGATAGCAAAACTAAATTATTTCCATTTTTTTTCAGCCATTATATCTTCGCCTTCCATCCTTACTCCATATATCTTTTGCAGTCAGTTCATAGTCTTTTTGATATATTAGGATACAAAACGGACCTTAATATTGGCAGGTTAAAAAAAAAACCCTCAATTACAAGGGAGATGGAGGCTGAGGAGAGGACAATTTGCATATTTGATATGGGTTGCACTAGCACTACTTGCAAGCAAGAGCTAGTAATTTTTGGGTTATTAAATTGTATGAAAAGGCTTAATTTAAGTTCTTCATGGAGATATTAAACTCTAGGTTTCAATAAAAAGAAAAAGACCCTTTATAATATCTTTTCATTGGAGTTATGTTGCTTGGAAAGAACTCTGGTGAGTTATTGAGATTATTTAGAAAGTAATTGTAGTGGAAAATGATATGGATCATGGTTTTTTTTTTTTTTTTTTGGGTGGTAAGTTGGATCATGTATGGTTTTGAAACAAACAGTATATCTCTTCTTCCCTATTAATTTTAAGGTAATGATTGGAAATGTCACTATATAGTGCAACTTTATGGGTTGATCTAGCTGAAGCTGGTCCAAGTCTTTTTCTACTTCTTTGAAGGTCTGAACCATCTAGGAGATGTAAAGATCTGAAACATTTAAGATATAAAACTCAACGAGGAATTCGAAAATTTATAATATGATTACCTGGTGTAAGACTGTGTGAGCAGAATTAATCCAATATTCTTTCATAATTGCTGCTTTACTGTATTGACTACCAACTTTCGATTTTTAATTAGCTGATACTATAGTTTTGAATATAATATTTGTTAATTTCATTGCAGGTTTTTGTGGAGACAGAATGCCTCTTTTGCAATATCTAGACATTATAAACGGTTTGATGTATTTGAGGAAGCTGAAGCAAACAAAGCTGCTGCAAAGTATGACAATGCCTCCATTGATTTCCAAATAAATTTTTACAAAAATGAAGGATTGACGCCCTATACTTTGGATAAGCTTCCCATAACCAGTGGTAAGACTAAGAGTGGTGTCTTCTTTTAGGTTTTATTTATTATTATTTATTTATTTTTATTTTCATTTTTAAAAAAATTTTATTTCCACTTTTTTCTTTGTATGCATTTATAGAACTTTTATATCTAAGTTCTGAACTCCCTAATACATAGCAGTTTGAAATGTTTAAATGCTACTTATATTTTGGATTTTAATTAATGGAAACTGTTAAGATTATCAAAATGATATTTTGAGGTTTTTTTTGAAAATTTGTTTTCACTTATGGATAAATGTGAGTTGATGTACTAAGTATGTCTCAAAATACAGCCCAAACTTCTTCACAAGAATTAAATGAACATTCTTTCTCTTATTATATCCTCTGTAAGAATATGTTTGTCCCTTTTTCTTCCTCATCCTAGAAACCGAATGAAATTTAGTTCCTATTTCTGTATGATTTCATACTACCTCCATTCCTTTGAGTTTGTTATGGTTGCTATTTGTGCAATGGTCGAAGAGGCTAGTAAAATAGGAAAGATTGTGCTGTAAATGGGATTTATGTAATAAAAATTGGAGTGTTATAACTTGTACGTGGGTTTATGTAAAAAGTAGGAAAGGAAGTGTTGCATATGGGGCCGGGACCTGGTAGTGGTAAAAGTGTAAAGATTTAGTACAAAAATTGGATGAGACGTATGCCCAACTCAATGGAATAAATGAAAATGGAACCTAGCTACGGAGGTAATATATGATTGATTGTTTATGTAAGGAATATTTACATTGTACCCCTTTTTTTAAAAAATTACTTACCATCCCAACCAATATACTCCTTTTTTCTTTATGTGTAAGTTAGAACGAGAACCATCTTACTTCTTTAGAATGAACAAGTTGTTTTTTTTTTTGTTGACAAATACTTGTAAATTATCCTATAGCCTCCACCTACTCATGTATATGGGGTGTCTCCTCTTGTACGAGGATGTGTTAATATATAGAAGTTATGATAAATTTTGTATTAAACGTTAATATGCTCAGTGACAATTTAGATTAATTTTAGCAAGATTGATAGTAGATTTTTGAAATTTTGAGGGTTTACAAAAAGTAATTTGAAGTTTCTGTTATCCTCAAACTTCTGATGCATTTTCAATCATCGTATATGTTTCACAGATGTCCCTGAAGGATGTGTTATATTACGGGAGCATGTCCCAATATCCGATCTTTTCAGTTGTCTATGGTTCAATGAGGTTGATCGATTTACTTCCAGAGACCAAATTAGTTTCTCAACCGTTAGAGATAAAATTAGGAAGAAGGTGGATTGGACCGTCAGCATGTTCTTGGACTGTGAAAGGCGCAATTTTGTTGTCCAGGTAAGCTCTTCTTTCCAGCTTCAACCTCAATTTTGCCTGGAAGTTTTTGTGCTACTGTTATGCTACCATATCTGATTGGACTATATACTTCATAGTTTCAACGAATATTCCTTTTTCTAATTAACTACAATGTACTACCCACTAGCTTTTAAAAGGTGAAACAATCCCTTGTTTTCAATTGCCACTAATTATTTTGGAAGTTAATTTTGTCTAATATATCAATGAATTTCAGCAAGGTACTTCCCACTACCATCCGATGGGGGCTAATATTTCAACAAATTTCCTTGTTTGATTATAAGTTGCTTAAAATGAGGGTGACTAAAACATTGATCAACATCTAATTAACTACTAAGTACCACCCACTAACACTAAAAATTTCACTAATATCAACTTGTTTTTTCAAAGAAACTTTGAATATTAAGGAATGAAGTATGGTTAAATTTCAGTGCGATGCAATTAAAACACACGGGTGGTGCAATGAAAAACTGACATATTTAGAGAATTTGTGTATACAAGGAACCATTATTATCCTGTTTTTTGCTTTTAAAAGTGGATCATTGTTCTACTTGTATTTGTGGATAGCTCCCTCTAAATTGAGTTGGATTTATCAGGGTTACCATATGGATGTGTTAAAGCAAAAGCAAGCAGCAGCATTAGGTGCTCGACGTCATATTCCAGCTGCTATCCCCCTCCTCTTCCCTTGCTGCCTCCTCCATCTCCTTTGCTGCCTCCCCCACCTCCAGCAACTCGAACCGAAAGTTCTTCTAGTCGACGGAGAGGAAGAGGTCGAAGACGGAATCGCAAGGTTGATGTTGGAGCTACTGAAGTAAGCAAAGTCAAAGGCACAGATTGAGGTCAAATTTTTGTTTAGGCAAACAAAGTATACAGATAGTATGGTTTCGCCTTCCCTGCATTAGAGGAGAAAACGCTCCGTTGCGCAGGGCTTGGTCCAATTCAAGAAAAGTGTTGTACTTTTACCATCTTCATTTACACAGCTATCACTGTTATTTTTTCTCCCAAAGAAAAAGAGAGAGCTAAGAAACTAAAGGGAATTGTTATTCAATTTTTTTGTATATATAAGATACCACATTTTTTTTTTAATAAATTTGTCATTTAAGTTTCCACACTTACCTATACCCTATATATGATCTTGTACTCCCTCTATTTTCGTCTGCAGATGGCGAAAAACATGAAATTGATCATCTGATCATATTTATAGGGGGAATTCTTCAGTATGCTCGTGTTTGTATTGTTACAAGCTAGACTCATTATTTGGCCTTCGTGTCGTTTGTATTTTTAATTATGAACCCAATCTGTATTTGCACTGAATTAGAAATAAAACGCGGCAAAGTCACTCCATCAATGTCAATATAACGTCAACTAAAATAGTTTAATGTACTACTTAATCATTTAGCATCTAAGCATCTTCATTAAGTCATAGCGTTATGAAATAAATGTTGAGGACTTCGATCAGTTAAGCAGTGTAATTAATTAGACCACGTTAAATTGTATTGTTAATTAATATATCGCTGCACTATTGTCAATTTCATAAACGTACAATCAAATAGCTGATTTTTTTGCTTAAAAGCATTACAAAATGCCCAACTTAGCAACTTACGTACAATCAAATAGCCTGTAAAATAATATTAATGTACGTAATTATTGATTCAAGTAGCCATGACCTGGCGCAGCCAACTTGAGTACTCATTGGATCTGATTATGTACTAAAATATTATATTATTCAATAAAAGGTAGTAAGGATTAATACATTTGTACTAGTATGTGCAATTGTGCCTTGCTTCATGTTTACATTGTACGAGTATTACATTCTTGCATTTCACATTTTCATATTGCTTTTATCTATTGAGTTTAAAATATTAGAAAACTCAATTTTTTTTTATTATTATTTTTTTTCATTCATGTTTAAAAATATTGGAAACCATATCAGCAGGCTGTTTAGACGGTATAAAGACAGTTAAACTAAGTATTAGTTACACATAATACATTATAAGTTAAGTATGAAGTTGATATGGACAATTATCTAAACTGTACTAGTGAGACCTCTAAACACTCAAATTACTTATAACGTCCAATGTCCAGTCTAATGTCTATTATTACTAGAAATAATTACTCCAACTTATAAGATAGGTAGCACAAGAAAAAGGGGATATAATCTAGCCCATGTTGTCTACTACCTTTGTTTTTTTTAATTAAAGTGTACCTAGTATTTCTTTTTGGAAAGTTTTTTTTAGTTGTTGAGTATTTTATTTGAAAAGTTTGTTTTTAGTTAACTCCGCTACATACTTGATTAAATAGTGTAAAGTATATGGTATACACACTTACTTTATCATTTTTTTTAAAGTGTGTGTCGAGATTAAACGTTTAATCTAAAGAGAAATGGAGAAAGTAATTATTAACAAAAAGCTTAATTGCTCGACATTGCATAATATGCATGCCTATAGGCTATAGACACTATGGGCATGCATGAACGTCTTTTTAAAAATCTCATTTTTACCACCAATAGGCATACCTCTAAATTCTTGAAGGGCCTAAAGCACAAAAAACCTGACCTGCCACGTGGGCAATTGCATGAAAATCAATGGGCCTTAGCAAGGCCCAAACCAATCGTGTACCCATCGGCTAGTCCACACAATCTGTGGAAAAACGACCAACCCATGCATGCCCAACTGGGCAACTTCACATGTAAAATCGAGTCTTCTTCTGCTTAAACGCCTTTATCCCATTAGAAAGATCGGCTACATGAACCAACATAAGGACTTTTCAGGAAGTCACTCATCTTATTATTCTTTTCATTGATATAAGGTTGAAACTACCTTTCAATACAGAAGTACATATGCAGCTTCGCAATATAGAAGATGCACTAAACTTGGCTTTGGGTCAACAGTAATTTGTAAGTTCGGAGACAATTAACCTTTTCGTTTTAAAGACAATTTACGTTGAACCGGCTCTTCTGCCACACACAATACATTGCAATAATATGTATTTGTTAGGGCCTATAATTAGTGTTTATATTGTATAGTTAACGGGCCTATTTCTTGAGCCCTAATCACTTGTATAAATACTCTACTCTACACTCTAATGAAACTACGAAAAATATTTTCGTGACATGGTATCGGAGCCAAAATCATTCTAATCCCTAAAATCAATTTCTACTTTCTACATTCTAATCCCTAAATTAATTTCTATCATAATCTCTACAATCAAATTTCTGGATTTTTTTTAATCAAGCAATTTCTACGAATCTTCTTGTTGTTCTAAATCAAATTTTGGGTCTTTCCCAATTCTACTAGTTTACTCCTTCGATTGTTGTGCGTTGCTTCCCATACTACTACTCTCCATCTGTGCGCTGCTTCTCATAATACTACTACTTCTTCTTCTTGCTCAAAAATGGTGAATGACAACCGCAAGTCGATTCTCAATTGTACCCACTGCAATCGATCGGGCCACGACTATAATTCTTGTTTTCTTGTCCACGGCCTACCCGATTGGTGGCTGGACAGATATGGAAGTAAAGGTCGTTCTTCGTCTTCGGCAATTGCTTTCCTTGTGTCGCAAGATCAGCCAGGTCGCGGAGATATCCCGCGCCTCTGTCCCGCGGCTGCTGCACCCACCACACCACTTCTGCCGGGCCGCGGGGATATCCCGCGACCCTACCCCGCGGCCACTGCTTCCTCCATTGCTGCTGCCCCTTGATTTACTACTACTCCTCTTTCTTCTATTTTGGGTGTGTTCGACCCTTCTGTGAACTCTATGGCTAGTGACTCTCTATCGTTCTCATGGATTATTGACACCGGAGCATCCCATCATGTTACCGACAATGACAATTTTTACAAGATGCTCATTCTATTATCTCTTGTCCTGTTGGTCTTCCCGATGGTGCTAAGGCCATGGCTACTAAGGAGGGTCGTGTTGTCTTGGCGGATGGCATTACTCTTGAACATGTTCTATTTGTTCCGCAATTAAATTGCAATTTGATTTCGGTGTCTAAGTTAATTGATGATTCTAATTGCTTTGTCCGATTCACTAATTCTCTTTGTGCTATACAGGATCAATCCTCGGGGAGCTTAATTGGAGGCGGTGAACGGATAGATGGACTATATTATTTCCGGCGTCTCCCTAAAGTATGTGCACTCCCGGGTCTGGAGATTTCTACATTTGAGTTGTGGCATCGATGTTTGGGGCACCCATCGGAAAAAATTGTCAAATTGCTTCCTACTATTCGAGGTACTACTGGTACTAAGTGTTTACATAAAGCTTGTGAAATTTGTCCTCTTGCTAAACAGACCCGAGCCAGTTTTCCTGATAGTGATAGTCGTGCTAGTCGTATTCTTGAAATGATACATTGTGATTTGTGGGGACCATATAACACGGCTTCTACTTGTGGTGCTCATTATTTCTTGAAGATTGTTGATGATTTTTCACGTGGTGTTTGGGTTTATTTATTGAATGACAAAACTGAAGTTTATTCTTCTTTTTGCTCTTTCTTTGCTATGGTTAAGTGTCAATTTGATGTCAATGTTAAGTGTGTGCGGAGTGACAATGGCACAGAATTTAAACCCATGATCCCATATTTTACTGAAAATGGCATTCTTTTCCAAACCTCTTGTGTTGGCACATCTCAACAAAATGGTCGGGTAGAGCGTAAATACCAACATATATTGAATGTGAGTCGTGCTTTGATGTTTCAAGGTAATTTGCCAATTACTTTTTGGGGTGAGTGTGTCCTTGGGGCGGTGTATTTGATTAATCGTACTCCTTCTACTTTGCTAGCCAATAAAATCCCATATGAAATTCTTTTTGACAAAGAACCCGATTTTGATACTTTGAGGGTGTTTGGTTGTCTTTGTTTTGCTCATAACCAAAAAGATAAGGGTGACAAATTTTCACCTAGGAGTAGGAAGTGTGTGTTTGTGGGTTATCCTCATGGCAAGAAGGGTTGGAAGTTGTATGATTTGGAAACCGCTGATATTTTTGTTTCTCGTGATGTTAAATTCCATGAGAATGAATTCCCGTTTGTGAAAGATGGTGATTCGGTTTCTTCTACTGTGGGTGCCGAGAGTGTGCCTAATGATTATGTTGGTGTTGATCACGATTTTCTTGATAATTTGGAATATGTATTAGAGGTTGGTGAGGGTTCTCTTGTGCCTGAAAACTCTTCACAACCCCGTGCTACTGCTTCTACCCCCCACGGGTCACTTGAGGCTACTGTCCATGACCACGGCAGTCCCATGGTGTCCCCTGCCCCCTCTGCTGCCTCCTCGGCCACTGGTACGGGCAGTCTTGATGTGGTTGTTCCGGACTCCTCTTCTACTTCTCCTATTGCGTTGGACCGTGCTCAACGTCCAAGGCAACCCCCGGGGTGGCACCGGGATTATGTTGCACACACTATATCTCTACCTAGTTCATCTATCTCGCAATGTTCATCGCCTACTCCATGCTCCTCAGGTACTCCTTACCCCTTAGCACACTTTGTGAATTGTGATAAATTTTCTGTGCAACACTATGTTTTTATTGCAGCTGTTGATACGGTAGTTGAGCCTCGTAATTTCAAGGAGGCAATGCAAGATGAGGGGTGGAAAGCGGCTATGCAAACGGAAATTGATGCATTAGAAAAAAATGGCACATGGGTAATGGAAAAATTGCCTCCGGGTAAGAAAGCTCTTGGGTGTCGATGGGTTTACAAGGTCAAACTTAATTCTGATGGCACACTCAAGAGATTGAAGGCTCGTCTTGTTATCTTTGGCAATCATCAAGTTGAGGGTATTGATTATAATGAGACTTTTGCTCCCGTTGCTAAAATGGTCACTGTTCGTGCTTTTCTTGCTGTCGCTGCTGCGAAGAATTGGGAATTGCATCAGATGGATGTTCACAATGCATTTCTTCATGGTGATCTTGATGAGGAAGTTTATATGAAGCTTCCCCCCTGGGTTTCATGGTTCTCAACCTGGTATGGTGTGGCGTCTTCTGAATTCGTTGTATGGTCTTCGACAAGCACCTCGTTGTTGGTATTCTAAATTGGCCGCCTCTCTGAAAAGGTACGGATTTGTGCAATCGTACTCTGACTATTCCCTTTTTACTCTGCAATCTGGGTTTATACAACTTAGTGTTCTGGTGTATGTTGATGATTTGATAATTTCTGGTAATGATTCTTCTGCGATTTCAACATTCAAGTCATACTTGAGTGACTGTTTTCATATGAAAGATTTGGGTGTTTTAAAGTATTTTCTTGGTGTTGAGGTTGCTCGTAGTCCGGAAGGCATATTTTTATGTCAACGGAAATATACACTTGAC